TACCATAGAACCTTCTCATCCAATATGTGGAGGATTCATTGTAGTTTTAAATAGTATTTTAATTATTCAAATACTGGTAGTAGTAATTAACTAATTGTCTGTTGTAAGTTTTAGTGACCTGACTACTTCTAGCAGAAAAATGAAAATTATTACAGAAATGAGTGGAGAGAGTACATGTACAAGGTACATACCTAATAAGGCAAGCTATAAGTAAGTCTACTGCAACACTTCACTACTTCTTTGCTAAACAATCTGAAATGACACACTATTTGATTTCTCTCATAATAATAAATACCGTTAGTATTATCTTTCAAATATGTGTTTGATACACATCAGAACCTGGACTATTGAAATAAGCGAATAAATCAACCAATATAAAGTCGTATGTAAGTAATCTAGCTTACACATTCAAAGCATTTTTAAGGAATAATTTGGCGAATCTCAAGAAGAATTTTACCAGCTACAATTCCCAAATATTTCGATAGAAATTTTACTGCATTAGGATGACAATTCTTTTAAAAATATTTAACAATATCAGGATTTCTGTTGGTCTGTGCATGTACACCAGATTGAATCATTCTAACAATTGTGAAACCACTGCACGTTATTTACATGTAATCAAACACACACAGACACATGTAAAATGTTATTTTTTTACTAAAAATTTTATAAGAAGGCCAATATAATTTTTTTTAACAAAGCAAAATCTGCTGATGCAGCAGATTTAAAACAAAACAAAACAACAATGTTATAGAGCTGGATGTTTCAGAGAAGTATAGGGATGTACATAGCAGAGTTAAATCCAGGGTCCATAAAGAGACCATGTCAATTCACAATCAAATCTTGTAATTCCATTTACATGTTACAATATCGGCAATATTAGTAATTACCCACAATGCACCTTGAACAACATTTTTCATTTGTCCAGTGACAATGTATTATTTGCATCAAAATAAAACACAATCTGCTCTTTTCATCTCACATCAAAGTTTACAATATATTTTTTCACCGTTGTTTAATCCAGACTCTCCTCAATTTTATAAAAAGCTATCTTCTAATGCATGGACGTCAATCAACAATGAAAACAAATTGACTGTTGAATAATTAAACACTGGTGATGAAAAACGACAAATGTATGACTGTAAGAGACACTCATGTGACTAAAACATTGAACGAATAAACTAAAAAGAACCTGACATAAATCTTGTCTTCATCTGAGTACCATGGCAGCTTTATTCAGTAAAGAGAATGCACAATATCTGTCCACACTGGTGAATCATGGAATTATTTCTCTTGACAAACTAAATACAGCTGCAAATATTTGCTGTTCTCAAGACGAATTGTCCTAAATTGGATCAAAATCCAACTGTGTGTTGGCTTATAACTTATACCTGTCATTATACTTCTCACAAAAATACTGCTGTGACCCCCCCCCCCAACCCCTCCAAACATATGTATGTTAGATAATAAGATTCAGTTTGATCAGAGGAATCAGGTTTTTTGGAACTAGCATGGTAATACTGAAATTAACAAATACATTAGAGAATCACATCTTATAAACATGTGAAAAAAAAAATACTACACTGAAATAACTATTGGTAAACTAGGGTGCCAAAGAAAACCACTTAAGTAGTTAAGAATTAAAATTAACATTGAAATTGCATTGTAAATATTACATTTTAACTTTATTAACAATCAACAAACCAGCTGCCTAAGAGAAACAAAAACACTGATAAAAAATCCCTGATTGAGCAATTACAATTCTTACTAGTATTTTTTCCACAGAATGTAATAATATTAATGTTGTCATGGTGAGCAAATATGTACATATAAACTGGTCTCTTGATTTTGCATCCACGTGAGGTAAACACAGTCATCAGGATTTGTTTACAACCATAACAAAAAATATTCCTGCACTTGCATAAATGTATGTACTGCCACCTAGAGTTTCAATAGAACAATTCAAGCTTATGAACATGAATCATAACACCATTGTTTGGGAGCACCAACAGTCAATTCAGTACTATGAGATTATGAGTATTCACAAAGGCAGTACAGTGATTTTATCGAACGTTATGTAGCAGAAGTTGATGCAATCACGTACTGCCTGAATGCATATTTTGATGCATTCTCATAACCTTATTATTATACATTTTTTCCTGCTTGTACCAATAATTTAATAAGATATAACAGCCAAAATAGGAACAAAGAACGTTTTGCACTGTTCCTAACACTTTTCAGCACGTCTAGTGCTTTACAGACAAATAAATTCTATTGTTTTTAATGTCATGTATAGCGATGATAAATATTCAAAGCTTTGTCAAGAATTTAGAAAACACCTAATAATGATTTAAAAACAAAAAAAAACACCAAAACAAAACCAGATAGACATCAATTTGAATTATACCGGTAATTGTTCTTCTTCATAATATGTGTACCCTGTTTTTCATCATAGATATTGGCATTTTGTATCCTTCATTTTAAATGCTCAACAAGCTACAAGATAAATGTAAAATTCAAATCTTTCAGAAAATGAAATAACAATCCAAGGAGATATGAACAAAATTCAAAAGTATCCATAACAACATGTGCACAATTGAATGCAAATGAAAAAACTGAATTTGTAAATCATAACAATGACATTATGGATAGATTATTGATTTATAAAACAGATTCTGAAGCTAGAGAAGCATTAAGTGGTAAATGAAAATGAAAAAAATTTCATCTACTTCCTATTAAAATTGGAGAACCTCAATTGAGTACTGATAATTTAAGTACATGTACCGTCAATGGGTTTTATAAAGTTGCTGAAAATACATATCAAAATTATTCGATAACTGGAGGGGATATAAAAAAGTTGAACGAGGGACTTCCCACATCATTTATGAATTCAAATAATTTCTTTATATAAGTATATGGCAATATAAATCTAAACATCTGTTTGGGTACTAATTTTGTTGACTATATTAGGGTGTCCAGGGGAGGCTGGTGGAGTGTTATAATGCATCCTAACACCACCAACACCACCAGGATGATTCTGATGATGTGCAGCAAACATTCCAGGTTTCATTGGTCCACGAGCTTTACCAATCTGTCCTGGACCTCCCCCTCGGGTATGAAATTTAAAGGGTTGATAATGAGATGTGGTCGGCGGAGGGGATGCTTGGATTAAATCCGGTCCGTATTCCATTTCTCGGCTACTATGCCTGCCTATCCGCTGTTTATTAGTGTTCAGCACATTGTGGGAGTCTGACTTGCGATTCTGCGAAGAAGAGCTGCTATGGTTGGAACTAGAGCTACTACGCCTACTGTTGATCCCACCTACTATGCTATCAGAATTACTCTCAGTGCTGCTTCTACGAGATGAATTTCTGGAAGTCTGTGATGGGTGACTATTGCTAATGACACTTTCATTTACAGAAACATCATTACTTTGTGAGGAAGGCTGCGAAAAATCAATCAAATCAACAATGTCGTCTAACAGATTTGGAGGCGGTGAAGAAGGTGTTGTACGTTGAGGTGAACGATGACTGGGTGAAAGGTGTTTACCATTTATGTTGCTAGGTATATCACTATCATTGCCAGTCTCAGTCCCTTCAATACAATTTTCAAGAGACTCTTTACCCAGGTCTGCCTGAATGCCTCGATCATTAGTCACACTATTTCGCCTTGTTTTTGCAGACAGTGATCCCTGATAAGGCTGAATTGTCTGTGTTCCTATATTGCTCAAATCTTTTTTAATAATGGTTGCAGGCACACATTTGTTGTTTTGTGTATCGTCTTCTCTCATTTTCATGGCCCTCGCAATCACCGCTGTTGACACTCTGTCGTAAACGCGACCAGCTAAATTTGGTGCATCTTCATTGGGAGTATAAAGGAGAGGTTCTACTGTGTCTGGACTTGGTGTGGTGAACTCCTCCGCCATTACTTTATGAACTCTGTACTGTAGATCATGGGGTAACTACCAATGAAATAATAATAGAAAACATTTAGTATTGGACACAATACAACCATAACACTATAAACATTGCCTGTGATTACCTACAATGCTATGTGGTTTGTCATACTGTAAAATACTTTTTTAGCTGGAATAAATTTTCGCTGAAAAGACTTTTTGGGTGTTTTGTATGGAATATATTTTCATTGATTTTAGATAAGTTGAATGTAAAATATAGGAAAAAAAGGTATATTTGCTGGATTTTATTTTTACTGAATCATTCCTTTGGTGAAAATAAAGTATTTTACAGTAACAGATATTGGTTGGTTTAGTGAATGTCACCTGTACACTCATCAAAATATTGAATTCATGTGTTTTTAAAATTATTACTTTTCATACTTGTATATTCTTAAATCATCAAACTGCAAAAATTTAACATAACCCTGGTAGTTTGTAGACTATGGACACAAATGTACACAATTTTAATACTAATCACCCATTGCCAGTATGTATGTATGTAAGACACAATATTGAATGTGTTCATGTAATGAGATTTAATGATATTCAGAACTATTAGCCAGCCATATTCAATCAGAGCACTGAGGAAATTGATGCATATATATGCAATTATATATTGTCCGTTTTACAAAATAAGAAGTAAACTGTCAATTAATATTGGAATGACCAATAAAAATATTCTCAAATATTTAGAATAAGTACTTGTGATGATTCGAAAAACTCATGATAGCATTAGAGGAATACAATTGACCTTTGACCCATACCATGCTGACTTTGTGTGTTAGGTAGTTGGATGCAGGTGCACATTGTAGTAACTGGACTGATAATTCACAATCTTTTTTTAGACGTGCCTGTAAATAAACAAGAAATATGCTTTAAGTGAGATATACGTAATGGAATGAATTGTCTCAACATTCTGCCCATGTTTATTTCGTCTATATTGATGTTATGTACCTTCAAACTTAAAATCAACTGTAATTCCATCCACACCATCTATTACTGTGATTTTGTTCTCTTAATGTTATTGCTTTATTTGTATGTGTATGTGAAACAACAAATTATTTTTGAGAAATAAACTTCAGAATATAAAGTAAAAAAAATACATCTGGTAGGCATATAAACAGGATTATTAGAATAAATTTATATGAATTTGAAACTATAACTATGTATGAAATTTCATTTATTTGTACTAATTACTAATGTTACTTGCCTAATTAGGACTGCTTGTTACTGCCTAATTAGGACTGCTCGTTACTGCCTAATTAGGACTGCTTGTTACTACTAATAACCCCTATCAATTAAATAGCCACCTAGGGGTTCATGATCACCTCAACATTTCAAAACTGACATTCAAGAATTTGTATTTTATTTTAGGCGCACATTTTGGAACATTGTAATTTTTCCTGATACCTAAAATAGAGTTAATGCATATTCAAGAATACACAGTCTTATGTTGTGTAGCCATCAACGACATTTAAAAATTCCTGAGTATGGTCGGCTGGCATAATCAAACATTCTGATTGGTTTATAAGCAGCTTTTTCTGTCAGATCAAAAGACTTTGCTTCAGGTCCACTCGTGCATGGCGGATACCTTTTTGCATTGAGTATTTGTATACAGCCAAGACATTTGCTTTCAATGAAACTAAGTTGAGTTTTACTGTCATTTCATAAGAAATCAATGATTTGATTATTATAATCATTAATCAATCTGGTAACTTCTTGAAAATAAGTTTGTTTGCATAAACAAATAACATTACAGTAATCATTGCGTTCATATTTTTTTGATTTGAAAGTAGTTCTACACAAATCATTAGATACAAAATTAAAACCACTGTATAGTATTTTTTTGTAATCACATAAAAACACCAATATTTGGGCTATAAACTTATCAATATTTGTGACGCCAGACTTAGAACCAAACTGAAACTTTTCACTCTCACCTAAATTCGAGTAATGTCTCAATTAGAAAAGTTATGCTAAATATGATATATGCACTTGTGCTGCAGATACCCTTCAAAAGATATACTTTTCCAACCATTACTTAGATCTTACATTTTCATCTTCTTTTTGGTTAAGTTTGCATCTGACATCGACCAATCTTGATGTCAAAGTCATCATTTCTTTACCAAGGAACTGTTTCTCTTTCTCATTGGTAGCAGCCTACATAATAAATACATATATCATACAAGTTACTACCTCCAATTAATTTATGTACAATAATACATCAACATTGTTTGAGTTCACAGAATGTAATTCTGATACTCTTGACAAATGGAATTATGCAAGATGTTTGCAGGTCATCATTGAGGTCATTGTCCTGTGACACCATCTATATATGTACATTACAAGATTGTCTCTAGAACTGTCAAGCATTGAGATGCATGGATGCATACCTTGTTACATTGATGGCCAATTAGTATCCACTGGAGCATTTCTAATATCGATTGAGATCACATCAATGTACATTATTTATTCAGTTTTAAATTAACTACACATGATTGCATGATTTTGTCACACCTAGAATGCTAGCCATTAATTACAATTCTTGTATTGTCACCAACAACATATGTTACGTATTTTACAAGATATTTGATATTCTAAGAATATATTATACATGTAACAATCAATTGATTTGTGACTTCCTTACCACTTGTAGTAATTTTTCTTCTATGGTTTGGTTAGTTTTCTGTAATGCTGAATG